AGGCTGTTACTTTAAATATTGAAAAATCAACATTCCCAAAAAAATAATAATGAGAATAATCATCAATCAGTTGATTTCAATCGATTGTCATCGAACAATAATAGGTATCTCTATTCTAGAATATAGGTTGCGACCAATATCCGAATACGTGTATATCTTCCATCCTTGATTGCAATAGTCAGGGAGGGTATCAAGATTTAAATTGGTCATGATTAAACAACCAGATGAAGAATCTTTCAATAAACGAGTACAAGGGATAAAAATGATCAAGCGTAGATTAACCGATTGATAGTTCATTAATCAATGCGTACAGTATACAGTAAGCGACAGAAATGAAAGGCTGAAAATAATTTTCAATTGTACTAACGAATGATGATTGCTACTACTGTACTATTATATTAATTGTAATTGCAAAGCGTGTGTGGATCATAGCGTTTTTCCCATCTCTATGGTGTGGACAGCAATGATTTCCTGACATCATCGGGCCAATGAGAGAAGTACTCAGTATTTGACAGGGCGTAGTCACCGAGAAATAAAACTAAACTTCATATCATGCACAACACATTACTGTACTGTACTGTACAACCTTCAGTACTGCATGTATTGGATTTAATCAGCGTATCCAATATGATTCCATAATACTGTTCGAGCGTGAATGGAAGCGCTCTCATAATGAAATAGCTAAAATGATAAATGCATTTGTAAATCACGCCTTGCAAGTGCATAATACAGTACACGTACTACGTACGCATTAGTCAGTTCACCCATTATCAAGCTGTAGGTTGTGTACAGCGATCATACAGTACTATTTCAATACTTCACTTTGAGCTTCAAGCATTGGTACAAAGCTACTCATTTTTAAATAGTAGCAAAAATCCTCATGGATGCTCAAGTTTGCTTATATTAATCAATTCATCATTAATCGATCATCAGTTTATGGACTTAACCTTTCGCTTAATCGTGAAAATGAGATGAGTGTAACAAAATACTTTACTAATTTTAATCTGACCTCTAATTTCTTGTGTTTTCCTCTTCTTTACAATGTAGTTTCGTAATGTCGTCGAAGTCATCTGTCCTTTGGTTCTTTTCATGATATTGGTTGCAGTCCGACAGCGAAGACCACCGGAGTATCGAAAAGCCTGTAAGAACTGACTCTATAACACTTGTAAAAGTTTCTTTCTTGATTAATTAATTATGTATTGGATTACATGAAAGAATGTTCTTGAAGTATAATGATGTTTACCACAAACAAAAATTATACTGTAAATGGGATAAAGAATACGTAGTATTTATCCTAGTGCGTTCAAATTTTATTCCATAGACCTAGCATTAATGCATTAAAGCTATCCAATATGCAGTACAATGCACAGTATTGTCTATGGAGATTACACTCTCTTTACATCATAAATTTACACCTAGTTAATACACGGTCAATTACAACAAGAGTACGTCATCAAGTCAGATCAACCATACGAAAAAATTATAAATAACGTAGTTCTACTTATGGAGATTATTGTAACTACTCATTCATTTAAAATTATGTTAATATCCAAATTACTTTTCAGCTTACTATAAACCACAAGCGTTACCTTCTGCTGGATTGCTGCCTTTCCTTCAAACTTTTGCCTGTGATTTTGGACAGGCAAAGTCTCACTACCCTATTAATGGCATTCCGTTACGAAATGCTGCGTAAGTGCCATACTTTATTCAATAGAATAATAACTTTTTAGTATTCGCCGATGCTAGTAGATCAATACTCGTAATATTCATACAAAGTAAAGTTACCTTCAGTACACTACGATGCTTTATAGTGTTACCCATTCTTACCAATGGATAATTAAATATTCCTCGATACTGCATGCAGGTACAGCATGTATATTTTTACATTTGTATGTATTCTATCATTTAATTCGTATCCAAAATCATACTTTATAGGGCTGACCGATTGTTCGCCGACGTTGCGAAAACCTTTCAAAATTCGTCACTAAGCGACACTCTCACCCAACTACCTCAGGATTTAAACAACGCCCAATTGCTACAAAATCTACTGTTGAATCCTCAAAATAGCCCAAGTCTACCCAATGTCGGTAAGCTGAAAGACTATACAGCACTACATATTTACCATAATTTAGTACTTTAAATACTTCACAAAGACATTGAGTAATATTATGCCGACTAGTAAGTTATCATACGGGTACATTTTCACCTTCGTTATGACGACCAAAACATAAGATTTTAAGCTAATACGCCTATTTTAGCAATATGTATCACTTGTTAAGCAACACACAGCATTCAAACTCAATTTTGCGTTTATTTATTTAGTATCCCCTGTATCAACAATTGTAAACAATGTCACCGCAGTAAAAGATTTCTTGCAAACCAACCTCTCTTTAACTGAATCGCAAACCAACACTCTGCTATCTGCGCAAATTAATGTTACAAAGGTAATAAAATATTGAAATCGAATGTAAGGGATAGATTATATCAAATTGATGTAATTACCAAACACATAAGGCGCTGTACCAAAGTACGTATTACTTATATTAGAATCAATAAAGTGATGATAAATATACGTCTTTAGATTTCTAGTCTTCTACTCATTAATGGAACTAATACCAATCCAAGTGCCTTGCAAGTACTTCTTGGATCCCTTCGACCTAGCATCAACAATCTTGGCCAATTATTAGGACTTCTGCAAGGATTAAACAACGGCAATAATAACAATCCTCTTGGTGGTCTTGTGAACAATCCTACTATTAATAGCGCCCTATTGGTATAATATACTTTTATTACGTAAAATTTGTTAAATTAACTGTAAACTATTCATCCGTAAAATTGTCCGCTACATTATTTATCAATTGCTGACCCTGACATTTCATGCTGATTTAGAATCAAGTCTTTTCTTCGGCGCAAATTAGAAATTTTTCATGCAATCCTACGTTATTTTTTGACGTATTAATCTTTACAAATAGACCGGAAGGAGTAAGTCTTTGGTCCTCAACAATGAATTAAGCCAGTTCTAGCATGAGGAAATCTTACTGTACTGCTTTATTTTATCTTGAAGGAAAATGTTAGAAAAGCTCTATGCAATCTGGATAATGCTCAAATGGGATATTTCGTTAATGAATTGAGACATCAAGTCAATTTCACAGCATTAATAACTGTAGGTGCCCTTACCATCTTTTATTATCCACGTCTTACCTAGGATATAATTCTTTTAATACTTTAATTAATTGACCAGATTGCCAGTCCCATCTCGGCTGTTCTCAGTGATCGTTTTCTTAAAATTCAAGCTGAACTAACAAGATTATTATCAGCGGTAAGCTGTTATTAATACCATTATGAATGGTAGTTAAGCGAAAGTCGCAATCTTTGTCATGTACATGTATAAATTGCCCAAACTAATTTTTTCATATTCTATTCGTTAGATGGGACAACTGGAAAGCCTGCAAAACCTATTGCGAAGCTCTGGCCTATCTGTTAGTGGTAGAAATAATAGCCAAACTGCTGCCTCAATTGCAACCTTCTTATGTGGCGCGGGGAGTTCGAAGTTATTTGGCAATTCCGTTATTAATACTTTTAATGGGGGTCGATCTAGCACCACGAGGATTGACGAAGGCAGCAGTACAACTGATAAGCCTAGCAACGAAACTATAAATTACAACCAAAGTAAGGTTTACCTACATCTTTCTTTATGCAAAATAATCTTATTTACATAACGACTGATTGTATATCATAAGTATTTAGAAAGATCCTCACATGCTATAAACGTATTTAATTTTAAATTTTAGAGTGTTATAATGGAACTGGAATAAATTATCGTGGTACCGTAAATATTACGCGATCAGGGCTCCAATGCCAATCGTGGACAGCTCAATTTCCTCATCAACACCGAAATACACCTGCAATTAGGCCAGGCAGAGGCCTAGGCGATCATAATTATTGTCGAAATCCTGATAACGAGCCTGATGGCCCATGGTGCTATACAACGAAGAATAAAACTCGATGGGAATACTGCACTGTTCCTCACTGTGGTAAGTTAGTTATTCTGAATGGAAAGTAACTTAGAGGATACTATTTTTTATCCTCATTCTATAACATTTAATTACAACGGTTGAAAAGATTTGTTCGCACTAGATTGTATTAGGAACATACTGTGCTTTCCTAAAATTTCAATTAATCTTTCTTTCTCTGCGAAATATTTTTATTAAAATGCGTTCTAGATAAATGCGTAAATAACCTCAGAGTGTTAACTAGCAGACTGCCAGCATATTTTACAAATCTGCTTCTAAAAGGAAAGATCTTATTTTCACCTAATAACACAGCGGCTAGAAAAATTATTAAAAAGGTAATAACAATCCCTGATTAAGTACAAACGATGACTTCTTCGATACTTCATGCAACATTTACCGTAACTTGTTTCATTTACATGTGTACAGGCTAACGAAACGTTCGTAGAAATTCAGAATTTGATGGTAAATGTTCGTCGTTTGCTTAATGCAACTTCACGATTAGAAAAATTTTTACAGCAAAACCCGCAGCAATTGCAAAATCTAATGGTATGTAAGAGATTCTAACGAATTTGTACGTGTAAACTCGTCTTCCAAAAAAACAGATTACTCATAGTGAAGTTATTGTCTTATAAAACGTAATTTTTCTTTCAAAACTTTTAGAATACTGTGCAAAATCCGGCCGTGCGACCGTTCTTAAACGCTTTTGGTGTAAATGTCAGCTTTTTCGATCCGAAAAACAATAACAGCATTATGTCATTGCTGCATAACATCAATTATTATGGCTACACTGTTTTAGATGTGGCAGAATGTGTAGATTTAAATTTCTTTGAAGGATACGACACCGAATATGATCTAGAAGTACGAGCCATGAATACTACCGCAAATAAAGAAAGTCCTATTCTCGGAAGTAAGTAATCTAATGATGGCTAATCCTTCTTTTACTTGTTAGTATCATATGATTAATGACGAGTTTTATATCTACTATTAGGCATTGTATTTATGAACCTGAACAACGGCTATATACCACGGCATGTCAAGTATAAACTTCGGCAAGATGTTGACTTCACACCGGACACGTACAATGTGCGACGAGGGTAAGCTTACTCTATCATCCTTATTTTACTATTCAGTAATTGTATCCCTAAAAATATAATTACGATAGATCGTAGAATAATAATCATAAATCTACTTATAGATTCTGGTTACCGGGTCCAACGGGAAATCAACAATACTATCAAGGTCTATTTGTTGTCTTACAAGACGCAATTGAAAGGGCTATTATGGAAAATATCATTAATGTATCTGCTGATGCACCTGGTGTTTATCTACAACAGTTTCCTTACCCATGCTATATTCGGGACTTGTAAGTTAAACCTTTCATCACTAGAATTTTTGAACTCTTATAGTTAATATTTGATAATATGTATGCGTATTTATTGACAGATTTGCAAGTGCAATCGGAGGTATTCTTCCACTTTTTATGACTTTATCTTGGATATACACAGCAGCGATGATTGTGAAAGCTGTAGTTCATGAAAAGGAACTCCGCCTTAAAGAAGTAACCTATTCTATGGCTTTAATTGCAATTTTTTAGTCTACAAATGCTTATTGCGGGACTTTTTATTATTTCAATTGTATAGGTGATGAAAATGATGGGTCTTGATAATGGTGTCCATTGGGCAGCTTGGTTTATTCAATGTTTCATTATCATGCTTCTTACAGTGTTTTTCTTAACTCTAATCCTTCGTGTAAGTCTATATTCGGTTGAAAAATAGATATATAACCTACAGATGATGATACGAAGGGAATATGCTCTTTAATTCCGGTTTTAAACATTTTCTTACAGTTTGGAAGAATATTTATGCACAGCAACCCAGTAATAATCTTTCTATTCTTCATGGTTTTTTCGTTGTCGACAATAATGCTATGGTAATTAGTTGATGTGCATTTCAGTTATTAATGCTTCAAATTTTTTTTAAGTCATGAAATATCTGATTGATTTGTTTTTCGTTTAGTTTCCTTATGAGTGTCTTTTTTACACGAGCGAATGTCGCTGCTGCTTGTGGTGGGATTATCTTTTTCCTATCCTACTTTCCTTCCATTCTCGTTATTTTGTATGAATCAGTTATGACCTCTGGACAAAAAGGGATCGCATGTTTGTCGTCAACGACTGCTTTTGCATTAGGTTGTAATTATATTGCACAATATGAGCAGCAAGGTGTCGGTATCCAGTGGTCTAACGTTCGATCAAGTCCTGTAAGTAAAGACAATTTTAACTGACCCGATTAATGATCTGTTCAATACATTAATACGAAATGTAATTCAACTTTCATAGGTTACCGAAGATACATTTAGTTTCTCTGCTACCTGTGGAATGATGATAATTGACACTATCATATATGCAATTTTGACGTGGTATTTAGAAAACGTTTTTCCAGGTAACGGTCGCATTGATGGTCATAAAATTTTAGCAGTATAAGTATTTTTCTCAACGCCTTGCTTCAATTATTAAAAGGTCAATATGGTGTTCCAAGAAGGTGGTACTTTCCTTTTCAATCTTCATATTGGTTTTCTAAGCCTAAAACTGACGGTCATATCGTTACAACACGCAACCGTACGAATAGCCCATCTGCGGACGCTGGTGCCACTGAAAATTCGTCTTCATCTGACTCTAATGCTTTTAGTAAGCTTCTATCGTAATTTAAGGTATTACTTTCAAAGACTAAGCTTACTGTACTTAATTATTAGACCCCCCACCTCTCGTTGAAGAAGAACCAACGCATTTAAAATTGGGTGTTTCAATCCAGAATTTAGTGAAGGTAAATGATACCATGATAGTTATAATAATTTAGGAGCGTTAATTTTATATGAAATAAATATGGTTTAGATTTACAAGACCGGTAATAAACTTGCTGTGGACGAGTTAAATTTAAACTTATACGAAGATCAAATAACCAGTTTCCTTGGTCATAATGGTGCAGGAAAGACGACAACAATGTAAGTTTTATAATAACTATGCACCAAATTTCTCTACAAATAATGTAGTAAAATCTTGACAATACTCCTTATATGTTAAAGGTCGATACTCACTGGTCTCTTTCCTCCAACATCTGGAACGGCGCATATATACGGAAAGAACATCACTGAAGATATGGATTCTATTCGTGAAAGCCTTGGATTATGCCCTCAACATAACGTATTATTTGAGAAGTAATTATACGATAATGAATCAGTAGTGTTATGTAACAAAGCATAGCATAGAGTATAAATGTCAATCAGTTTCCATTAAAATTTTGCACTTGTTGATTTATTTATCAGCTTGACTGTTGAAGAACATTTATGGTTTTACGCACGCCTTAAAGGCCTATCTAGCGCAGAGGTTAACGATGAAGTTAATCGGTAATTGAAATGGAGCTATCGTGTTGTAATATACTTAATTTTGCAAAGATAGTATTGACTTTTAAATTCGTTTATCAGGATGATCGACGATATTGGCTTAAGGAATAAACGGCATGATCTGTCGTCTAGCCTATCTGGTGGCATGAAGAGGAAACTATCGGTCGGTATTGCATTTATCGGTGGCTCGAAGACTGTAATTCTTGATGAACCTACTGCTGGAGTCGATCCTTATGCTCGCCGTGGAATTTGGGATCTTGTGCTAAAATATCGTAAAGGTAGAGAATATTGCTATTATTACCTTAGCTTATTCCAGATGTGTTACCTATCGACTTATATATTTAATAGGAAAGACCATTCTTTTATCGACGCATTTTATGGACGAAGCTGATCTTTTAGGAGATCGGATTGCGATCATTTCTCGTGGGAAATTGCGTTGTTGTGGTTCATCTTTATTTTTGAAAACTAAGCTTGGAAGTGGTTATTACTTAACACTGGTGAAAGATACCGGTAGGTTTAATCATGTAAATAATTGAAAGATTTTCATCTATTAGTACCCGCACTAATAATATAATTATATGATTACTATTATTAAAAATTTTTATAAGATTCGCAACGATCCGCTAAAGAAACTTGCCTCGGTGTGGATAACGTTGATGCTGCTACCGTTGATACTCCCGCCGTTGATGTCAACCAAGTGTCAAGATTTATTAGTGGATACATCCCGGAAGCTAAACTCGCAGAAAGTTATGGAAGTGAAATTACATATATTCTACCGCAGGAAAGCGCTAGAAGTGGCGTTTTTCACAACTTTTTTAGTAGCTTAGACCGGCATTTAAAAACTCTAAGGATTAATAGTTATGGCCTGTCTGATACCACTTTAGAAGAGGTAATATTATCAAAAATTGAAGTTTAAAAAATCGTAGCAAAATGACTTTAACATATCTATTATTTTATATATACGTATATCTCTTAGATTTTTCTTAAAGTTGCCGATGAAACTGGTGTTGATCAAGCTGGTAAGTTAATCGACACTGCTGAATTATAGGAGGTAGATTAAATTTTACTTATATGATCTTTCTTTGCTGTCTAACTCTTTAATTGAATAAAAGATGGAAGAATTCCTCGTAGAAGATCGTCAAGGAAAATGCTATTCTGGAAGCGAAAAAGGCCGGCAAATTCTGCCCAAAACTCTGCTACGAATTCCCAGGATACCAGTCAAGGTTCGCATCTATGAAGAAATATATGCAATTACATGTAACAAAATAAAATTACAATTTATTTTTATAAATTTCAGAATCTGGAAAAGATGTCACAGATTCAGTTGATGCTGGTGTTGATCCAGCCTCCAAAATTACCAAATTAACTGGATGGCGTCTAAAATTACATCACTTTCAAGCATTATTTAGAAAACGTTATCAGTATGCAAGGCGAAACAAGAAGGGCTTTGTATCTGCAGTTATTGTTCCTGTAATATTTATTTGTATTGCAATGCTCTTCGCCATGGCTAGCATAGATGAAAGCAGTAAGATTTATAGGATAAGCATTACGCATTCGATGCATTCATATAGCTAATTGTGTTATCTTACAATTTCATTTATTGTATTATTGCAGTTACGTACAGCCGAAAATTAACCCCAGAAATGTTCACGCAGCCTTTGTATACGTTTTCTTCTCTGATGAAAAATCCTATTGCTGATTCTAGAAAAGCCTTAAATTCATTGTTCTCTAGCGGAATTGGGGATACATGCATGGGATCAAACCATAACTGCACTAAGCCATATAAAGGTTGGAAACAGCTTGAGTTAAAAATTTTACTATTTATTATTTTAGAGATGCTAATCTGAGATACAAATAAAAATTCCAGAAGTAACCTCCACTCGAATTTATTATTTAGACACTTCAATATCCCTGTATTTTCCACAATCCAAAAATTCCTCCGTACGTCCATGCAGCTGCAGAACTGGCAGCATAGTCTGCCCTACTAATGCTGAAGGAAAATCGCCTCCTCGTTACGTGTTATACCAGCAAAACTATATGATAAATCTAACGGACAAAAATGTATCTGATTATTTGATGAAAGTTAGGAATCGTTTTGTGCTGAAAATTTACGGTGGCTTTAGTTTTGGTGAAATCGATCCGAATTCTCCAAATATCGCAACCCCTTCTAGTGGTAGTATTCTTTTAAGAAGATTATCAGTGAGAAATGTTGTACGGGCGTGGTATAATAACAAAGGATATCATGCAATGCCTACATATTTAAACGCGATGAATAATGCAATTTTAAGGTCTAAATTAAGGCCTCAAGATGGAGACTCACGTAAATATGGTATTACTGCATATAATCATCCCATGAATTTAACGCGTGCTCAATTAGTTAAGGAAGCGATAAGACGAAGCTACCGTGACTTACTTATTGCAGTATCAGTGATATTTGCATTGTCGTTCATTCCAGCTAGTTTTGTACTCTTCCTGATTAATGAGAGATCGTCTAAAGCCAAGCATTTGCAATTCGTTAGCGGCGTCCATCCCGTTATGTACTGGTTATCAAACTACGCTTGGGATATGGTTAACTACTTATTTTCGATGGTCTGCATTCTAATTATATTTTTGGCTTTCAATGATAAGGCATTTACTAGTAGCGAGAATTTCCCGGCCTTGTTAATGCTATTGTTTCTCTATGGCTGGTCAATTATACCAATGATGTATCCGTCATCCTACGTCTTTAGTGTTCCGAGTACAGCTTACGTGGCATTAGTCTGTATTAATATCTTTATTGGCATAAATGGTACCATTGCAACATTCATTTTAGAACTATTTGAGAATGACGCAGACTTAAAAACAATAAATAATATTATAAAGCAAGTCTTTCTTATTTTCCCGAATTATTGCATGGGACGTGGAATTATGGATCTGGCGAAAAACCAATTAATGGCTGATGTCTTTAGTCGCTTTGGAGAAAATAATTTCAAAAATCCGTTCGGATGGGAATTAGTTGGACGTAACTTGTTCGCCATGGCAATCGAAGGAGTTGCATTCTTTATCCTCGTTTTATTGATGGAATATCGTTTCTTTATCAAGCAAAGGTACAAGAGCTTTTATCAATTTAGAACCTTTAAATGACTTTGATGCTGAGTTAAATTTGAGTACACTCGTATATTATGCCTGTTAGGGTATTAATGTATTGATTTACCGTTAAGAAATTCATTAAATGGAATTTAAAAATTTAACTGCTCACTCTATGATAGGAAATTAACGCCGCCAAATCGTTTTGATGAAGTTGAAGATGAAGATGTTGCTGAGGAAAGAAGAAGGGTTCTCTCCGCTGAAGCAAACGATGGAATTTTGAGATTAGAAAATTTGACAAAGGTATAGTAAAGAAGTTGTACCGATAATAACTTGTACGGTATTTGTAAACACCGGTTGGTAACTTTCAAAATTGTATTCGTATTGGCTATAGGTCTATCGAACTCGTAGGAAGAAGCTTATAGCAGTGGATCGTCTATGTGTGTCAATTCCACAAGGCCAAGTAAGGGAACGTAACTGGTTTACGTTGCATTAACACAATATTTCAAGTAAATTAAGAGTCGTTATCATATGCTACAAATAATTGTATTTGTTGTAGTGCTTCGGCTTATTGGGTATTAATGGAGCTGGAAAGACCACCACTTTTAAAATGTTAACAGGCGATATTGATGTAACGAAAGGTGATGCATTCGTTGATGGTCACAGGTAAGCTTTACTGATGGTATATATACAACTTATTTAGTACCTGATTAGCTAGTGAGCGATGCCCTATTCACAATAGATTGTACCTAAGTTCTCTTGTAGATCGTATCATCGTATCAATGTAGCACGTTACTTGAATCTACGAGTATTCACGTTACTATATTAAAATTTGATTAATTCTGAACTATTCTGATGCTTCAAATTACAGTATATTAAGCGAAACTGACAGTGTGCGACAGCGAATTGGATACTGTCCTCAGTTTGATGCAATTTTAGATTTATTAACTGGCAGGGAACATTTAATGTTCTTTGCTCGATTACGTGGTATTCCCGAATCGGAAGTCGCAAAGGTAGCGTAAGCTATATGCTGCATCCATATATGCACTCTGTATGTACAGCAATCATTATTAAAACTAATGTAATCGTATCAAATCAACTTTATAGATTGCAGATTGGGGTATAAAGAAGCTTGGATTAATACAGTACGGGGATCGATTAGCCGGCACCTATAGTGGTGGCAACAAACGTAAACTGTCTACAGCAATCTCTTTAGTAGGAAATCCACCCATCATCTTTTTGGTATGTACATTATACGTACAGTATTATACTTAATATGTAGCAATCTATGATAACTTTGTAGGCAATGATAATGTATTTCTCTACAAACTAAGGATGAGCCCACAACTGGTATGGATCCTAAAGCTCGTCGCTTTTTGTGGGATATGATAAATAATATTGTACGGGATGGTCGATCGGTAGTTCTTACATCACACAGTATGGAAGAGTGTGAAGCTCTTTGTACAAGAATTGCAATTATGGTCAACGGAAAGTTTAAATGTATTGGAAGCATCCAACATCTGAAAAACAAGTAATAGCAAAAATGATCTTGCAAATGTTGTACCAAGTTTTATTAAAAACTTTTGTTTATTTTACAGATTTGGTAGTGGTTACACCGTTCAAATTCGAGTTAAGGGTTCGCAAGCTAATCTCGAACCATTAGCATCCTATGTTTCGAAAACGTTCTCTAATGTAGTTCTTGTGGTAAGCTATGGATGTGTAGAGCGCGCACAGTCAGTATAATAAGCGATTATTATTTCGTAACTTGTCGTATTTTCTACAGGAACGGCACCACAACCAACTTCAGTATCACTTCCCGGAAAATATAGAATTAGCGAAGCTGTTTGATAAGTTGGATAATGTTAGAGAAAAACTGGAAATAGATGACTACTCAGTTTCTCAGACCACTCTTGATGAGGTTAGGGTGTTTTAATAATAATATTATTTCTGTAACTCCATTCCGTTGAACTGTTCTGTTTTAATTCATCATTCAGATCTTTATCGGCTTCGCGAAGCAACAGCGCGACGACTCTGATGACATTATTACTCCAGATTCAATTGCACAAGATCGAGAATTGACGCAAGCTAACAACAATAGACATAGTCTGATTGATGTAAGAGAGCCAATTCCGACATTAAGACCTAAAGAAAATGGCCACCAACTTGGGGAAACAAAGGTTACAACATACCATCGTCATTCAGATGGTATCCAACTTCTACCAACTGAAACGCCTGTATAGTTGAGTTAATTACTTAGATATGATTTCACATATGACAGTTTACTGTCATAGCTGGAAGCTTCAGCTACTGTCTGTAATCATATGGGTATTTACCTAATATGTACATAATATTTCAAGTTACATTACATGTATTTTTTATAACAATTTAATTGCTATTAGTTTTACCATGCTGGCTTGATAGCATAATGCCTCGATTTCTGGCAATAAAACAGCACTCAAGATCGTAAGCTTGATTCCATTTCTGCTTACGTTCAATAATATCTGGCTAACAGTGTAAAAGATGAAAAGGTTAATATTCCTGGAAACAAAAGTGGAACTTTACTCATGAGATATTCGATTCTGCTAATATCATGTATCATCATGTATTGCCACTATCTATTTGGTGGTTTTGTTTATTTCTCTGTGTTGTGTTACCGTACTTGAATTCTTTAAACATAGCAATCTGGTATCAGCATTTCTTGTATAGTTATATATATTAGTTAATATTTTACATATCGTAGCATAACGGTATAACCGTTGAGTAATGGTATTTTAATGCCATTTCCGTACAGCAAAGCATACTCTTACATGTCTTCTAAATAGCTTTTATCATAACGAAGCAGACATAGCATTATCTGTTAGGTATAACTTTAATCCGATGTATCGCTATACTAGAAACATTTGAAAAATATTGGACCGTGTCACGATATTACTACCATGTCACGTTCAATGCAGTGGTATAGATGTAGAAGTAAATGATTATATTCGTACTAGAAATGCATTTTATCAATTTTAGTCTTTAAGATATACCTTATCACTATGCGATTTTTAACGAAAATTGAATTATGATATACGTCTAGTTCAAGCCTATGAAGTATAGAATTGCAATTTATTGCAACCGACTGTCCATTTACTGTATTCAGTCAGACTTCGAATGTAAAGCTAGACTAAGTAGTTTCAATACTTCATATATAAAGGTGGTAGTGCCTTGCTGACTGTATGTTGTACAACGTATTACACATTCTGCCGAGCATGGTAAATGTCGAAAATAAAGAGGAACTGTATCTTGATATTAATCCGCGCGAGATTGATTTTTTATGACGTATAATATTACATGAATCTACCCAGGTAACTGAAATTATCTAGTTACCATTTTTATTAAATTACTGAATTTGTTCTTAATAACCTGAAGAATATGTGCCTATCTCTTTCATATGCTAGATTGTAGTTACTAAGTATACCCCACTAGTTAAAGTATTCCATAATTTCGAGTCGTGAGATAGTCCTTTCTCTGCTCGTGACCTTAATATATGTAAAGGTAGGTATAACCTTCTAATTCATATTTCTTTGACCACATATATAATTTTAAATCAAGTATGAATGAGAGATAACTTCTTTCATATATCACAATTGATTGCACGGCAGCAAATCCAGTTACTGTACTAACGCTACGGCGTTATGAAATATGATTAATGATGTTAATGGCAACAAAGCACTATAGCTCTTTGACAGAGCATGTATGTACCGGTGTAGCTAAATAAGGTATAAAAATCTATAGACTATAGATATCAACTGCACTATATTGTTAGAATGTGAGTAAATCATATACTACCGTATCGTTGCACACGTACCTTAATTTTAAAATCTTTAGAAGAAACCATATCAACTCAACTAGTAGTTTATAATCATGCAAATTACACATGTGCATGGTACGTACAGTACACTGAAGATCCTTAATATCTTATTCGTGCAGAAAGTCTCTCTATATAATGCTACAACTATGAACAGTAATACATTGTTCCATACATGAATGTTACGCTTACAATTATTTAAACCAATAAACTAACAATATACTAGAATAGCTGATCACAGACATGTTACATTTCCTAGATTACTCTGTGTAAATATAAATGAATTTCATGTATTACTTCGTAGATTGAAAAGATCTCTACCGCTCGGATAGTTCTCCCTGACACTTGTTATTCCCTCATATTAACTAGTTATCTAGCTATGCCCGCAATAATTTCTCTTGACAATTGACTAACAGAAATTTAACGTGAATATATAAAATATTAATCCATTCAATTACAGCTATATAAGGCACTGCTGCACTCATCAAGACTATATTTAAAACCACTTTTAAGCTCGTTAGCTATAATTATAGAATGAAATGATCACAGAACTTTGTAAGTTTTGGATTAAACTACTGATCTATTGAGCAAAATCGTCAATTTAGCGTTGTAAAGTTGTTCATAGACTCTGCTAATTTATAAACTGTATACTTAGTTACATATCAATAGGCCTATATTCCAATTTTAATGTATAACATGATTTCGTACTATTAAGTTAGCATATATTGATTTATTGCACTTCTTCCATAATTATATGAAGTTTATGATGATATTCTATTGTAATGGTTATTGAATACAACGTGAATTAAAATTAGTTGTTTATGCATTCATACTATTATCGATAATAATATGTAACGGACGTAACAGATTACAATACTTTGTATGTTATTATGGTCGACTTCAAAACGAATTATTCATAATAGTAATCTATAACAATTAGTTACAATTTAGTACATGGTTCTCATGAATATTTCATGAAGTTGACGAACGTAATCGTATTTCTTTTATCATTAATCATTTATTATTTAAAACTCCTTGTAGTCATGTCGATTAGAAATATTTATTGAGCTTTTTACTGCAGTTACGCCACTGATTCAGTATATAAATGTATGAAAGTATTATTGTATACCACGCGCACACAGAATAATCTTGCAATCCGTTAAATGTATATAGTGATACATATACATCTATATTTTTATATGTGCGAAGAGGTATAGTCTATTTTAAGGCTTAAAATAGTTACATTACCGTCACCAGGAAACACTATAGATATACAGTATAACGTAATCGATGTCCTTTATTAACCTTTTACCCTACCGCGGATCCTCTACTAATCAATCCCAACTGCTGTGAAAGACACTGTATTACAAAATCATAAAAATCAGTGTTTATTGCCATCAATTTAATTAATTAAACTGATTATCAATATTTTTAACGGTTCTATATAGAACAATTCTAGTTTATTTCAAGTTAAGCGGTTGTCGTTTATTATATTATTATTGTCTTTCCGCTTCTGAGCGCACAGTATTTTAATCGTATCGTATATCCCAGCATTGTATAAGCTTTGGAAGCTTTCATAGTGAGAAGAGCATTCTTGTAGTCATTCTAATTCACAAATAGCAATGTCTGAGGAAGAATCAATTTTGAACATTGTGGGATTTGAATTGATAGTCGAAGGCCTAGCCGGTGTTGGATGTGGCGTTGCCAGCATTCTTGTACCCATTTTCTCCAGCGCTTTTCGATTTCAATATTATCAAGGAATTTGGGCAGGAGGCCTGGTAAGTTTCGTCACTATATTAGCGATTAGTTAAATTCTTACTGTCCTTTCACCGATTAATTTGGCTTGCCAAGGCAATACTGATCTATCTTATCACGATATCAGTGATACCGTGATTTATTAAGGAAATTTTTATCAGATTTTAAAATAAGATAAATCTTTAATTAAATTGAGTAAGATAATCTCAAAGCTCTAATAATCGCTCTAATTTATAAAACATCTTTTTCCTTTATCCTATTATGAAAATGATAGATTTATGCATACATAAAAAACAATTTTCATAGGACTTCAGAAATGATCCATATCAGCTTTCTTAACGAATGAATAGTATCGTGCTATATTTCAACTAGGGCTATAGCTTTTAATCGTAGACTGCATCGTCTCATTTATTCTATAACCGTAAGACACATATATTGAAGTTGCTGTCCGCTACTTTAAAGTTTTTCAACAAAATAAATGGCTAAATTGAAATCTATCCCTTAATAAATGATATATTAACAAGCTTCTTTACTATACTCAATAAAATAAGAAGTAATCATGCTGCATCACTATTGCTTTTATCTAATACAGTGTTATTCTTTTTTACTCAGTTTATTAACATGATTTATATTTTATGATCGCCAATTAAAAACTTGTTATCTATCCTTTTGCTTTTGTCCTTTCTTAACTTTATCGTATAAATATTGCCCCTCGTAACTATGATTTTCGTACTCTATCGCCCAGAATATGATTCATTTTATCCATGGCTATAAGTGGTATAATATGATTCCTTATTTAGTAAATCTACACCACTTTGATCCGAATATCTCAAATTACCGACTATAGGCAAAGCTAAAGTAAATTTTAATCCTTAAAGTCATACTCTGAGAGTATTAGTCATATTCTACCATTATAGTAAAAATGTTGATTAAAAAAGTAAGTAAAAATGGCGAAAAAAAACCAACAAAGGATCAACCTGTTGCAACAAATTCTATCAATCAGCTGCCCAGCAATGGCCGTATCCATAAGCAACGACTAGCATTATTTAGAATCGCATAACCTAGTAGCTACATCATCTTAATTCTATCGACCTTTTAATGCAGTTTATCTGATCTAAAATTGAATATTAAGGTACTTTTGTACTCTTCAAGTAATTTAATTCTAATAAGGAATCCGTAATGCTGCCCCCTTCCGATCTTTATTTTCTTCTGTATGACACAATCTCTATGCTAGAATTTCTAATAATATTCTTTTCGTTTAATCAAGTTATTTTTTCAATTAGCTTTCGCATTCCTTTTAAGTTTACTACATATTCATGTTGACAAATTATTGAATTTATCGTTATAGAATTCATTTTTAGTCTCTCGTTTTAATCTTGAATAACATCTGATATTACATCTGGCAACACTTCTATAGTCAATTTTTTCTTCCGTTATAGCAATCTTTCATTTTTATTTTGATGTGTAATAGGATTGATTAACTCATTTAATCTTAATAATTCCTTTTCTATAGATTATTCTCGTTGGTATTTATGCTCTAATACTCTACTATAAAGATGAATTTGAAAAGTTATGGCTGGTAAGTCAATACCACTTCAAAATAACTGATTATAGAATATATTTACATTCATCTTTGACGAGTAATAAAATATAGTAATACCGTACGACAGATACTGATTTAATCTGACTTGAGTTTTTTCCTATCTAAATACAAAAGTACCAGTTTGCATCTATACTTTTTAATATTTTTGTGTAAATGTGTCCATTTCATGCAGAATACAGGGTATAAGATACAAAATCAGTAAAAATCATTAAACACATAGTGACTATCGCTTAACACTTGTTAGAATATGCTGTTATGATTGATTAATTAAAGTATAATGGCGTTAAGTGTTCATACTGTTACAATTACTGCGGTAATCCCTAGTATATAGTTGAAGCTAAAAGTCTGACAATTCCCAGGCTCCTATACACAACAATTAAAATATTCCTGAATTATTAAACATAATTTTAAAGAGTTTTGAAATCCAAGATTTGTACGATAAGTTTAAACTCGTAGACTCGTGCGTCATATGCACCTTACTTATTTTGAAATTTAAAGCCCAAATAAAAATTGGAGAGCGAATTCATGTAACAGGGCGAGAATCTTCTGATATTTTATAGTTCCATATTGGTTAAAATCTCTAATTGATCATTTAGCCAATTCTAGTATAGATCTTAAACCTTTTCCGATAGTAAACATATTTTTGCTGATTTAGATCGACTTATCATTCGATTAGCTGACCTCATATCTGACAACTGCAACTTACTTCATAGAAATGTAACACAACAATATCGTAGGCAATTTTAGTACCGCAGTACACATATCGCTATTCTTGAGAAAAAAAAGTGTAACTATATAAAGTGCATTGTATTGTTCAAAATACACAAATATATACGCGTATATAGCTAAGCTTGAGATTGACTAATATTGTATATTAATTTCATCACTGGCTCAGTTTTGATAATGGTATAGTAAAATTTAAGGCTAACCCTAGGCAGCTGAATGGTAATTCTTCTAAGCGGTAGTTTATAGCCCTAATTACCAAATTATAGTATTAATAGAGTGGATAGGTTTAACTATTTTTGTGTTAAGCTTATATCATGTTATAACGGCATTCAGTAACTATACGATTTGGATGCATAGAAGTAGGCGTAACCATAGCAACCATTCATCAAAATGTTAATGGTACCTATGACTGTATTCTATCTGGTCCAGTAGAATATTGCAGTTTATATGGATTATACTAAAATTGCTGGCAGCATTTTATTTAATAACTGCGATATTGCTGCTGCACAAATTATACCCTACTAAACCTACTGTATAAGAATCTTATATAGTACACTTTGATAATATTTACGCTTATAGTAATCTAAGATATTACATTGGTGTAAGGTATTTGCAATTTAGCTAAGTACTTAGCTAAGAGTAGTAACTATAGTTTTGATAAGTGCTCGTTTATTCGAAATTGTTATATGAAACAAATGAATTCTACACTTTTAAATAAAATCTTAGAGCTATAATACAGTAAATGATGATAAATGATGCATAAATAATGTCTCTATTGTA